GAACAAGATCAAAAGCCAAACAACCAGGGGCTTGTACAAATGGTTTTTGATTTTGTCTCTCGTTGTTTACAGCCCTTCGAGGGGCTGACCGACCGTCTGCCGCCCTCCTCCCACCTAGCACTGCCTCGTGGCATGCCGGCACGCCGGCCGGCGGACTAAGAAAGCAGCCATTGAAAGAGCTTGCGTGCGAGACCTAATCTTGCCCCACCTCCTGCCACCGACATTTCCTAGAATCGCAGTTTTACATGCTTCTTAAGCAAAAATTGGCTTCTGCGCTTACAAGGGAGCGGGTCGTAGGGAAAACTCCCGCACCGGGCCGGACTCGCAGACTCTTTACTCGTAAATTGGCGTTGTTCACAATTGATTTATCATCGTTCGAAGGAAGGGACCATCAATATTATAGGCGTTTCAAATTTAAAAAAATATAAAGTTGAAAGGAGAGAATTTTCCATTCAAATAGAAGGTGATAGACGGGGTCATTTTTTAGAGATTGCTACTGTCCCACTGAAAAGATAAGATGGTTGTGTACCTGAAAAGTCGGAAAAGGGCGCTCAGGCTACGCTGTAGCCAGAATATTGAGAAATGTTCGTGCTGTTTAGACCACAAAGCGCGGTAGACACTTGGAACCTGTCTACCAGCTTGGGCAACATTCCTTTAAACCCATCCAAACATAGACAGGGTCATGATCCGAAAGTGAAAAAAACGGAAGTTTAACGTCTGCGTCGGGATCGGCTAAGCTCAAGCTTATGGAGGCCGTTACTCCCCAAAATAGTAAGTGATGTGCAGTACAGTGGCTAAAAACTGCATGGAGATACCCTTACTCTTGAGGAACTCAGAATCGGCTCAAATCAATCGGAATCGAAATACCGATAACGCTTTTGCCCGAATCAATCAAATCAATTTGCCTTACTAACTGGTTGCCAAGTGTGATCCAAACAGCCTCGCAGTTCTGAGAGTCTATCAAGCTCATAGCGTAGCCTTCAGGGGTTGATCTACTCTGAGCACTTTTAAACGTACAGAGGAGTAAGGCATACTCGAAAAACCGTTCATTAATCCTTGTAGCGTCTACGGATAGCAGGTTTCGATAAACGGGTAGGCGATTTGGCTGAAGGCTTAGGTTATGGATTGTTCTCGGCTTAGATCGACCAATGTTTGCTGGTGGTTAATCAGTCGGGGCTTAGCTCGTTCCACAGGAAGTCAGGCTTAGCCAGGTGGGTTACTAGACCTGGAATGAGGTCAGGAGCCCCGGCTGTCTCCCACACGATCTCCGGCGACGAACAATCGGACTTACGCAATCCATCGTGCGATTCACGCCGTAGAAAGCGAACGTTTATGTTTTCGCCAGTGCCCCGTCTTCGGATTCTTTGCGTGGGACACCTGCGCACGTCGGATTGTCACCACGGATGCGCACCCTGTCCAGGCGATCCGCTCGCGCTACAATCGACTCCTCCTATGCGATGTTGACGTCTATCCGTCTCTAAAAGCTACATCTGTTCTTTTGGACGTTACTTTATGGCTTTTTTCTGTTTTCATGTTTGAACATTGAATTACTTACAATATTAAAACATCTGTTGGTCGTTTTCCAATTTCTCCAAAATCTTTTGGATTTTTCTTCTCTCCTATCCAGATCTATACTGTCTTTACTGGAACATTTCTTTTTGTGGTGACAGATGCCCTTGATGAGTATAGACATGATCCATAGTAGCCACCTAACCTTTCATAATAATTGATGAAATTTTTTGAAGCTTTTTCGACTTTCTATATTCAAATGGTCAAAACACTTGTTCAAAATTGCTGTCATCGCTTCAGGTCCTGGCTCAAATTGCTGTTCAAACATTTGATTGGAAAGCATCTTTCACAAAAAGATTTTCGTACTGTTATTATTTTTTCAAGAGTCAGAATAGAAAATCATTAAGAAAAATCAAATGATCGGCAAATTCTCTAGAAAAGCGCCTTTTTGTAGGCTACTTACTTGGTAATGAAGCATATGAGTGATACATGTATAATGTTGCTTCATGCTATGGATGAGATTTCCCTTTCTTGGGAGTACTGAATCGATCTCCTCAACAAAATCTTTCGTAGTAGGTTAATAAAGTAAATGTCTCTTCCAAAATGCCTTCTTATACTTTAGTGGAAAGTGAACACGTGGCTCATCCTACAGAGATCGACCAAATCCACTCAACTCCTAGTCCTTTTCGAAGAAATTCTGGAATCTTGCACCTTAACCGTCTCGTTCGATCCAAGGAACGAGTTTTTGCAGAAGCCGTCGTTCTCGAGGATTGTGGATTCGATCTCCCTACCTCCTATATCAACGTTCCGGTGGTTATCGATTTTATCGATAGAGAAATCGTTATTGATCGATTTTTTCTTGCTCATTATTTCCAAGGAAGGCTGGAGGTGGGAATGGCCCCTCTGAGAGTCTGGAACAAGCATGGCAATTTCTTACATCAAGTCCTCTCAAAATCGTGCTCATCCGCATTTTCACTTCTATTTCAGAATAGTTAAAATAAAAGTTGGTAGCATTTACTACGCGAGTGATCGATATCAATTAATTCACCCTCCTTTAACCATCTTTTATGAGCTAAGTGGTACTATAAGCACTTCATCACCACTGCATGCCTCGCTTTTTCAGCCTGATTCGTTAATTGCAGTCAACAAAAAACATCAAGTCAGCTATTTCCATTTTTCGTAAATAGTAAATACATCGGTGAAGCTGAAGTGTCAAGAAGCGCCGTTACCGTGCGGTCAGGGATCCAAATGCGGATCGATACCCGTTCAGGCCAGTAAAACCTCCCATTCTTGGTTTATTCCTTAGGTCATTAGGTCATAGTTTCTAAGAAGGGGACTGCTTGAAAAGTACATAAGCTGGCACTGTACTCATTCAGATCCACTCTAAATTACAGTTGAAAATCACAACTCTCCCTGAACGAAAGTCCGATAAATGGCACTCCCCAGACGCGACTTTGCTCTTGATGTACAAATCTGGCCCAATAGGGCCGTCGCATAGACTTCATCAGTCCCTCTTATGGTTAGGTTTTTTATCGAATCCAGAAGCATCAACTTCTTTTACAATTGAAAATGAAAAGCTCATGCATGGCTCAACCAAATAAAAGAGGCAAACATTGTCCCCTTATCTGTGTTCTGTAGCTGAACAGTTTAAAAGCAACTTCTTTCTTAAATCTTGAATTTCTTCATTTTCTACTACTCCTTTTACGAGTTCTTCTTTGGCCTTCCTTTTCTCTTGACTGTAGAAACCCCCTTAAGTGCCTTATTCTCATAAGAGAGGTCTCCGCTTTTAAACTATCGAATGTTCGGTGTTTTCCCCTGCCACTGGTGCTAATAGTTATTGCCTTAACTACATACGGGTTTTCCCCTCACCAAAGCCTGTTATGCCGGTCATCATGGGAAAGCATCTAGCAGTTGCAAACAGATTCGTTCAGTGTTTTAGCTAGCCCGATTGGCTACCATCAAATGGGCACCGTCAAAAAGTCGACATCGCTTTTCTATTCTCTGATAGCTAGAAATGTCTGCTTGCCATTCATTACAAGGTAAGTGAGCGGTTAATCAGTTACTGAACAAAGGGGCTGGTAGCTAGTTGTCTCATCGTGAACTTTCCATGACATAAACTTGACCTAATTTTACTGATTTAGTGAATTGAAATTTATTGATAGTTATCATAAGCCCTTTACTAGGCTTAGGTGTATAAACTTTTTTGGGTGGGACGTATGCCCCGCCGAACTTAGGAGCTTTCGCTCTCATTGGAGTTTGAACTATAAACAACCATAAACCCAAACTACTCTCGATTTGAACCCCCCCCCTCCCCCCCGAACCGGCCTCTAAAGTCCAGAATGGTCGTGAAAGTGGATAGTTCAATTCTAACCATGTCAGGCTCTTTGGTATAAAAAAAAAAAA